TATATATATATATACATATACACACACACAGACACATACACTGACACACACATAAACAGACAAACAGACACACACACACACCCACCCCCCTACAACATGAAGGACGTTTGTGCTCAGTGACAAACACATGCGGAACTTTACTACTGCGATCTCAGAGGTTTCGTGGTTCGAATCTATCGTCTGCCAGCTCTTTGGGTGTACTTAGCCCCATTAACAAAAAAACCGCAGTTACTGTTTGTTTCCCGGGAAGCCGAGAATGTGCCTGAGTGTTTTAGGGCCTGCTGGAATAACAATACCTGTAAAGCGCATAGAGCATGCTATACAGCGTGGATATGCGCTATACTATGTGTATACGTGCAATTATTATTATTTGTGAAGCGCACGGACAAAATGGGTTACTTCTCGGATTCAAAACTTATAAGGAAAAAGATATAGACCTATCACGCTTATAGGTGAAGTTTTGTATGATTTATTAGTAGGGCCTATGGCCATGGAATAAAACAGGCATGTTATACTTAAAGAATATGGCATTAATAATTTTTTTAATCTACAAATTTGACCCTTTTGTCGATTTTGGGCCAATATCTCCATTTTGTGAAACGCGAGAAGTAACTCATTTTGTCAGCAAGCCTCATATTTTACTTACAACAATTCGCTCTTCCGGGGAAAATCTGTTGGTGTAAAATTCCTCCTGGAAGTTGGCCACGAAGGCGCCGACCAGAGAGAACACTTGAGCAGACACAGCTTCCACCTGGAAGTGAGAGGAATACGTCAGATCAACCCATTGAAGACCCTGTACGGAAATCGCTACCTTAAAATTACATGTAATTATAAAGTTCTATCGGACATTCTTGGCCGTTTTGAGTTACTCAGACCATGAGGTCAAAAACCAAATGGTCTATCTGTTCTATCAAAATCGTAAGGTAATTCGTAGTCGTTATCAAGATATCCAAAGAATTGATTTCGAAAAAGCTGTACATGTTGTGAAACTCGAAATTTTTAAATTCACATTTCTCAAAACTAGATTCTGGGCATATGGAATTTCGTATTTCTGGGGTACCAAAATATCAGTAGGAAAGCTATACGACAAACTCTGAGGTAGCGAAATAGCGGTATGACACACCAACTTATGATATGGAGAATGTTTATAAAAACAGAACACAAATACGAAACAGCAGCATCAATATTTACCAGCATAATTGATTGGTACAACAACTAGAGATAAGTGGATAAGATAACACGAAAATGAGCTTTAAAGAAGTATACCTAAAAGAAATGTATCAATGAAATTACCAAGGAGGCCAGTGTATTATAGCCCTTAAAGCTCAAGAGCCCAGAGTTCAAAGGGTTAAGGTTGCAAAAAGATAAACGCGGTAATACACAATTTGTAGAGTCTATTTCCAAACGTTGATACAGCCACTCTCCATTGAAGCAGTACAGCAAAACAACCTTCGCTTACTGCAAAGACTATTCTCTCCACATATATACTCCCTACCCCC